AAGATCTTTCCACTAATGTTTATTCAGAGCTGAGGACCATTGATGGAGATGCTTAATGTTGAGTGTAGTTTTCATTAATGGAAGCTTGGATATTGCACATTAGCAGAAAAGGACAGAAAAGTCATATAAAATCCCTGGAGAACCAATGTTGAAATCTTTATGTGATCAGCAATTGATATAAGAAGACTATTCTTTTCAGAAATAATCTGAAAAGAACAAAGCATCATGTTCTACTTTAGTAGAGCAACTAAAAGGTCTCAGTATCTTAACACCCCATTTTCAAGATCTACAACCTCATCCTCAATCTTTCTTTCTCCAAACATGCTCTTAAAACAGAAAAAAAAAAGAAAGAAAAGAAAGAAAGGAACAAAACCACAAAACTCATTTACCCTGAAAAACTTACCTGAGGTGATATGAGGCTATTTGTACTTTTTTTTTTTTTTTTTTTTTTTTTTTACCTAGGTTATTCCCTAATTTCCTGACATCTAGGGTATCAGTTCTTGACTTTTAAAGACATTTTTTTTCAGATAACTTAAGTTAAAAGTTCAGGATTTTACATCAGACCTGAGTTTGAACATGGTTGGGAAAAATGCTACTCTTCCACTTAAAATTACCTTGGCCAAACTGCTTAATCTATTTGACTGTCATTGTTTGTCAGTAAAATGGGAATAACATAAATTTACAGAACCATTGAAAGACTGTATTAGGATTTATTTAGTAAGTGTTAAAGTATCAGGGACTTAACATTTAACAAAAGTTAACTATTTTTAAAATTATTTTTAATAATAAATTAAATCTTGGTCCTCCTTCTTCTCTTCTCCAATCAACAAACATTTATTGGGTGCCCACTATGTCACCAACATAGAAAAACAACCATGAGTAAGGGAGCCACTCTTCATGTCACTCCTGCATTAGAGATATGCTAAACTAAAACCTACTATTTGAGTGACTCCCTTAGATAAACATATTCACACAGTGATAGGATTATTGTCCTATCAATGAAGAACTCCTTTAGTTTATAATCTATTCCTAAAAAAAAGAACTCTTCCAACTACTTCACTAATTCCATTCTTTTTACTAATTCCCCACCCTAGCCACAAATATGATTTCTGGCATAAAATGTTTTAGGAAAAGTATCACTACTGTAGAAGAATCTAGTTCTGTCATCTCCCTCTTCTCTGTGATTTCTCTGGACTCTCTTTGGTTCTCTATTGTGTTAAAACATTCTTAGGAGACTATCTTATTCCCTTTCAGATTTTTAAATCTAGCCTACCTTTGGCTACTTAAGAAATCTGGTATCACTAAATAGCACTCCAAAAGGGGATTTTTAGTGCTTCTCCCAGAAACAGAAAGGAGGGTGAACATAGGTTGATTTATATCCATGTCTATTGTCAAGCTGTGGTTAGAGAAAGGTGATTAGGTTGTATTTTATAGGTTGGGGACTATGAAATAACATTTTGCTTATCCCAAATATTTTTCTCATCTTTATCTTTCTGGAAACTCTTAGGTCAGGTTGTTGCCCTGTTAGTCTGAAAGCATCTGGATTCTAAGCCTTAGAATCTTGGGGGCATAACTACAGCTAGTCTATTGTATTCTCTTCCAAGGTTCATTCCTGGGTTTGCACTAAAGCTTGTTGGACCAGGTCTAGTGAAATTTATTTTTAAAGGCCAACTAGCTGTCAAACAATTATCATCTCTCAAGGATAAGATGCAGATTGTAAAAAATCTAAATTTACCTGACACGGACACTTTATCTGCTAATCTATTTTCACTTGACTCTCCATTTGTTTTCCTTATTTTCCTGGGTCTTTTTTCCCCTCCCACCCCTTAAATATATACTATAGGTGAACTCTTCTGTACCCTGACACTGACTCTCAAATTTTCATCTCTAGCACAGAGCTTTTCCTTGATTTTCAGTCCCATATATGTTTTTTGCTTATGGGAACTCACTGGTAAGTCCTACCAGCATATCAAATTTGTCATGTCCAAAATTAAAGAAATTATATCCCTAATTCCCATCCCAAATCTATCCTTCCTTTGTTAATGTCATCACTTGACCCACATACCCCCCCATTCTTCTCTCTCTCTCATCAAGTCCTACTTAATACCACTTACTAGTACTGGGCATATTTTTTTAAAAAATATATATGTTTTTATTGATTTTAGAGAAAGAGGAAGGGAGGGAGAGGGAGAGAGAGAGAAAGAAAGATAAGTATTGATCAGTTACCTTCTGTATGCACCCTGACTGGGGATCGAACCCAAAACCATGAGTATGTGGCCTGACCAGGAATTGAACTGACCACCTTTCAGTGCATGGGATGATGCTCAACCAACTGAGCCACACTGGCTAGGGTTTCTGAACTCTTTTGAATCAGTCTTCTCCATCCTTCCTGATCTCTTAATTTTTTTTGTATCTATCAATTTTACTGGCACTAAGAAACTGATTGTTCTAAAGCATAAATGTGATTATAACCCTTCCTTAAAATATCCAGTTCTTTTTTATTCATTCTATTCAGGACAAATTGGTAGATTTCAAATTATCTTTGTTAACTTGCCTTTAACTGACCTCCCAGCCTCACCTCCTACCATTTCAAACCTGTGCTTTCCCTTTCTGCTGTACTCAGGATTGACCATGGCTTTTCATGCCTTTGTATCTGCCATTCCCTCTCTCTCCTCTCTCTTGTCCACCTGCCTAAAATTTGCTTATCTTCAAGATCCTGCTCAGCAGTGTCATCTCTGGGAAATTTCCTCCAACATTTCTCCTTACCCTCCATGTTGCTTTCACAGTCTCCTGTGATAGCACATGTCATGCTGCTTTCTTGTTGCCTGTTGACATGCCATGTCTTTGCTCCTTAAAGGTAAGAGGTATCTTTAATTTTATAGTCTCAGCTTAACAAAACAGTTGACATTAGACATTACACAACAATGTGTGGCTCTCAAACTCCTTATATTGTGTCTTCAAACCATGTATAAAGCTTAGGAGGGCATTTAATCTTTACCTGAGGCTCTTAAAGTAACCAAAGCTCAGAAATATTGGCATCTCATTTTCATGGGCATATACATCATTAGTTGAGGTATTTTCTGGAACTAGTATCCATTTCATACTAAAAAAAATAATTTAGAGCAGTCCAATTAGAAATAGTATATACAATTAAGTATGCAAGTTCTGGCATTTTTGTTTATTCAGTTTAAAATGCCTTGCTAAAGGCCAGAGACTCCATCTTTGAACTTAGTTTTCTTATTTTAAATTTAATAATAACTTTGGAAGATAAAGGGAATAAAATGTCAAAGTTAGTTTTCACTTCTATAAATGATATTTTCCTTAAAATATGTTTATGGAGGACAGGTCTTACCCCTACAAATTACTTGAATAATTATAATGGTGCATGGTATGTAATTGTGTACTAAAACCCTTTCACATTACTTTTTTTTTTTTTAAAGCACCATGAAGAAAACCCTCACTGTGATTCAGCCTGTCATGGCTGCCCTTTTTCTCCCCCTCCTTTCTTTTGCTCCCGGTGGCCTATATTAGGTTTTAGTAAACATGTTGCTCTGTTTTTAGGGTCAAGAGCAAGCAGTATTTTATCAGGCCAAATGCTGCTTTTATAATTTGATGATCTCTGTTGCCTCTTTAGAGATACCACAAGTAAAGCGTAATGCATTTTTTCTTTGCTACTAGATTTTGTATTTTGTGTGATGTACTTTTGTATTTGAAAATGGCTATTTTATAACAACCGATGCTCTTAATGTTCTAGTCTTAATTGGTTTTGTCAGAATTCAAAGTACTGTCAGGTCAGCAAATCTGCGAGAATGTGTTTACTTGTTGGTGATGCTGCTTTTTAATATTAATTGGTTTAGTTGGAGTAAAGGTTCATAGGTTATGGGCAAACTTCATAAAATAAAAAGCAATCTTTTGAATGAATGGCTGATAGTACCTGTCAGTATACCTTTGCTTTCTTATGGATTCTCCCTTTCTTTATAATCAGTTTAATGAAATCCTTTGCCCCCTTGATTATTAAGTTAAGATACCTGTTATTTTAGACTCAAAATATATTTGTAAAAGTAATTTTATGCATATTATATAATAGCTATTTGCCAGAGTTAACAATGTATTTTTTACTGGAGAAAAATCTCTAATATTTTATTTATCATTTTTTGTTAATATATTTTTACTAGAGGCCTGGTGCACAACATTCGTGCACTGGGGGAGGAGGGGTCTCTCAGCCCAGCCTGCACCCTCTCACAGTCTGGGGCCTCTCGAGGGATGTCCAACTGCCAGCTTAGGGGAGCAGGCCTAAGCTGGCAGTTGGACATCCCCCGAGGGGTCCTTAGCGCTACTGCAGAGGCAGGAGAGGCTCCCAGCACCTCTGCTGTGGTGCCAGCTGTGAGCCCGCTGGCAAGCCTGGCTTCTGGCTGAGCAGCACTCCCCCCTGTGGGAACGCACTGACCACCAGGGGGAAGCTCCTGCATTGAGCATCTGCCCCCTGGTGGTCAGTGCATGTCCACCATTTGGTCAATTTGCATATTAGCCTTTTATTATATAGGATTGATTTCAGAGAGGAAGGGAGAGGAAGAAAGAAATATCAATGATGGGAGAGAATCATTGATTGGCTGCCTCCTGCACACCCCCTACTGGGGACCAAGCCCACAACCTGGGCATGTGCCCCTGACTGGAATCGAACCCGGGACCCTTCAGTCCGCAGGCTGATGCACTATCCGCTGAGCTAAACCACCTAGGGTTCTAATATATTTTATAGTCCTAATAGATTGTGGTTAATTATATTTGTGTTCTTCCAAAAGTATAATTTGCCCCCTGGTGGTCAGTGTGCATCATAGCAACCAGTCGTTCTGCCATTCAGCAATTTGCATATTACCCTTTTGTTATATAGGATAGGAGTATATTGTTTGTAGCTCTTGTTGAGTTGTTGGTTGAATGAGTGAATTGAACCATGCTGATAGGAATGAATAGTAACTAATGTCATTTATCATTTCTGTTTATAGGTATTACCATTTAATGAAACCTGCTTGCCAGCAAATCCATGATAAAAAATATAATTAAAAGCGGAAACTATAACTGTTATTTGTCAAGTGACAAGCTTTTAATGTCAGAATGACTCAACTAAAGCGACTAGTGAAATTACATCTTAAAAGACATTTTCATAAAAAGTTCTGGAAGTTTGGTGCAGTAATTTTTTTCTTTATAATATTTTTGATTTTAATGCAAAGAGAAGTAAGTGTTCAACAATCCAAAGAGGAATCAAGGATGGAAAGGAACATGAAAAAGAACCACAAGATGCTTGATTTAATGCTAGAAGCTGTACACAATATTAAAGATGCAATGCCAAAAATGCAAATAGGAGCACCTGTTAGGCAAAGCATTGATGCTGGTGAGAGACCTTGTTTGCAAGGATATTACACAGCAGCAGAACTGAAGCCGGTTCTTGACCGCCCACCTCAGGATTCTAATGCACCTGGTGCTTCTGGTAGAGCATTCAAGATAATCAGCCTAAGTGTTGAAGAGCAGAAGGAAAAAGAACGGGGAGAAGCACAACACTGTTTTAATGCTTTTGCAAGTGACAGGATTTCTTTACACCGAGACCTTGGACCAGACACCCGACCTCCTGAGTATGTTGAAGAATATTCATTGTCTTCTGTTTATCATCAGGGCTTGCAGGGGAAGGCTGTTAGCTAAGGAAGTTGCTTGTTCTTTAGCCACTCTAAGGGGAAAAGAAATCACCAATTATCATTTATTTAATCAGTTTTAATTGCTTTTTATTTTTCTTATTGAGGCCAGATAGTCGTATCTATTTCTGGTGCGGCATTGGAGATGTGAAAAGTTATTGTCTTAGAAATTAGAATATTGAATTCTAGAACTGACATCTATAGAATCACAAATAAATTCTTTATTTGAAACACTTTAGTTTCCTCATCTGTTAAGAAAGAAATACAGGACAGTTTTTATGGAAAATATGGGAGTTGTCTCCATTCCTCTGTGTATTACTGTAGAATAGAAATGATTAAAAAGTATGCCAAGACTTTGGAGCTGTTAGATAGCAATATTTTATGAATCAAGTCACAGACTTTGTGGTTACTCTCTGTGCTATAATTATACTTCACTATATTTAAGAATGCCCTGTGTTTTATGACCTGTCTTTTAAGGGACAATATTGTTATAATTAGTAATTCAACTATGATTCTTTCTCTATAGTTTTGTTGAATAAGTCCCGGTATTATAGATCTGTTTCCCTTTAGCTTCTGAGAAGTCAAGATTGCTTTTTATTGTCACTTTACTTACATGCTTATTTCAAGTATATAGTATTTTGATTAAGTTTTCCTCCAGCTTCCTTTATACTGTTTGTCCTTAGTTAATGAACCATTTTGTTATCTTTGAGGTAGTGGTCAAATGCTCTGTTTGAACTGAAATAGCTAAAATGAATTTCTAGTTCTTTCAAACCATCTACAGATTTGTTAAAATTGTAAGACAGAAAACTGTAAGCAAGCAGTGCTACATACTTTGCTTTCTGGTTATAATAAAAATATATTTGGAAGTGAACCTAAAGAAAAGGACTTAGGTCTATTGCTTCATTCATATTTTTCTAGATTTATGATCTGATCATAAATACCTGCTCCAACTATGAGTTCCTTAATGTTGAAGTTGTGTAGATTAAATTTCTGTTGCTGTATTATTTTTATTTTAATTTTCAAAATCCTCACCCAAGGATATGTTTTTATGAGAGAGAGAGAGAGAGAGAGAGAGAAAGATGCATGAGAGAAACATCAATCAATTGCCTCCTGAACTTACCTCACTGGGGATCAAACCCACAGCCTGGGTATGTGCCTTGACTGGGAATCAAACCAGTCATCTTTTGGTGCATGGGATGATGCCCAACCAACTAAGCCACACCATCCAGGACTGTCACTGTATTATAATCTGTGTGATTCAAAGTTGGGTTGCTCATCAATATTAAATAAATGTGTAAAGAAATAAATGAATGTCTAACAAATATTTTAGCTGTTATAACAAGGCACAGTTTTGTTAAGTTAAAACGTAGTATTGCACTTCACTGATCTGGAGAAATGTCTTGACTGAAAATCAATTCACATCACAAATGAAGAAACATACTTTTTATTCTTCAACATGATAATCAATGCCAGCTCAAGATAAACTTCCCCCCCCCAATATAACATTTAAAAACTACAGTAATATTCAATAATGTTCATCATTAAGTAAGTGGGAAATAACTAAGCATGTAAAGAACCTCTTTTTTTTGGATAGGCATGGCTACCTGTGACTGTGAAGAGTTGGTGAAGACTTAATACTTTGCTACTTTAAATTTAACCTATATCTGCAAGGAACACATTTTCTGAAGAATTCCTAATCTTTTCTTTGCTCATTAGAAATATAGGTCTAGTTTCTCCCAAAACCAGATGTGACTGATTGAGCACTTTCCTATTTGCCGAATCTTTCAAGTGGCTTGACTAGAAATATGCAGTCACTTTGGCAAGTTATTTTAATTTCCCTACTTTAAATGACATGTGAAACAGTTTTTAAAGCATAAGTTTAACATGCTAATTGTTTCCAAATAAATGAGGTAATTTCATTACCACTTGCATTAATGATATGACATGACACTTTTATTTGATATTAGTGGTTATCAGTTAAGCAAATAAAGCCTCGATTAAACCAAGGGAAAGCCTTGTAAGATTAAAATGATAACATTTTATTAGTGTGAGTTTTTGTAAAGATTTATACTTTAAATCTTCAAGACCTTTTTGTAATTCTTGATTAATATTACATTAGTTAGTCACATGGCACATAAATGTAGGGAAACATTTTTTAAAATCTTGAAAATCTCTCCCCAAAATGCTTATAATACAGGAAATCATAAGGTTTCTTTTTTTGTTAAAAAAAAGAAAATATGGAGTTTTTCATAATTTTTACTTATAGTTTATTAGCTTATAAACCTTTATGTCTGAAGATACAAGCTTATATTTAGTTATTTGTTTCTGTGTAATTAAGAGTACTATATAGGAAGAGGTAGTTTATGTTTGGACATTATTTTTAATTGGTAGTTTATCCAAAATTCAATTTAGAATAAATAACTTGCTTACATCTGTCAATGAGGATGAATGTGATTATTTGCTCTGACGATATATGTATATTACACTTTGAAATAACAAATGCACTAGAGAGTAAAATCACTTTCACTCAGTCAATTCCTCTATTTTTTCTATCCGGTGGTGTTGATACCCTCTCAATACTTTATTCCCAGTCTAATTTTTTTTTTATCACTACAAATATTCCACCCTAAAGACCTCCTCTTAGAAAAGAATCTAAGACACATACATATTGAGGTCTGGATGTCAAAGTGGTTAATGAGAGTTTGTAGGATATCTTCTCCCAGGGTGGCAGCCCCAGGCCTCCCGTACCATCCTGGAGACTCTGGTTTCCCCATGGGCCCTGGCAGAGGGACTGAAGTGCTCTGGGCCCTTATCTCCATGATGAATGATTTACTTCCTTGTCTTTGTGTTTGACCAGCACTTGTTCACACACTGTACTTACAGTGCCTTTTGACCGTGTGGGAGATTTTTGTACTCTGTTGTCTGAAATTATACAACCACTTATGGTTTTTAAGTGAAGTTAAAGATAAACTTATTTATTTATCTTTTCCATATGTTCCAGGTTCACTATGTTTGATTTTACAATGTTTTGAAGCCCTCTCCTGTCTGTTATTTCATTTGATCTTCACCTCAATGCAATAGGCCAGGGGACTGGAGGCTGTACAGGTCCTCCCGCACCCCGATGCTTCATATGAAGACAACTTTCACAGAGGAAGACATTGTTATAAAAATGAATCAATTTATAACTATTGTTTATAGCTAATGGGTAGCACAGTGCCATTAACCTGTCAAAAATTACTAGTGTTGCTCTCCTTGTGCCTGTTGATGTTTCATGTGGTAACAGAGCACAGGACTAATAACATGGATTTAGGACTTTTATTTTAAATTTATAAATGTATTTTTAAAAAATATTTAAAGTGCCTTGTCTCATTTAGTTAAACAATAGGTTGGATTATTGGAGCAAAATCTTTGCTGAATAATGAAAATCATGCATAGCTTTATAGTACACTATTTTCCCCCCATTGGTTCAAATATAGATTAAGTAAATTGATTAAATAAACTTGGAAAATATTACATATTTAGGAAAGTATCTAATTTAAGATAATCTGTACATATATGAATATTTAATTAAATTGCAGTTTTAAAAATTACAAATAAGAAAAATGTATGATTTCCACAAGGAAGGAGAAAAACTTGATTTTTATTTGACCAATTACAAGTATTTGTCATTTTTATAGGTGGTCTCACTTGTCGGTTATTTTCCTTATTGAAAATGTTATTTTTATGTAAAATTATACTGTTGAAAGAGTTTACAATAGCATGTTCTCATCTTTGACATGCAATACATATCAGTGGCCATGATCTAGGTCTTGTAAAGCATTTTGTTTTGCTCTGCTTATGTTTACACAGCATTAAGATTATCTTACATAGTAAAAAGTCACAGAAAACTATTCACTACCATTTCTATAGTGATAAAGGTTAAATAATAATTTTGGTAATGGCATAGCTATGATATAAAGTAATAAAATTCATAATTGTTCTTCTACTTTGACCTTTTCTAGATGTATTGAACAAAAATTTAAGCGCTGTCCTCCCCTGCCTACCACCAGTGTCATAATAGTTTTTCATAATGAAGCATGGTCCACGCTGCTTAGAACTGTCCACAGTGTGCTCTATTCTACGCCTGCCATACTGCTGAAGGAAATCATTTTGGTGGATGATGCTAGTGTAGCTGGTAAGAAAGCATATGCAAATTAGGTTGTTTCCCAAGTAAATCCACATGGTGTTGTCCAATGTCTATTGAGTTATATTGTACTCTCAGATGCCATTTCAGAACTTGAATAGTTTGGATGCTATATATGGTGGATGAAAGTAGAATCCAAGGGTGTTGATATTCTAATATTTTGCAGTTCAGAAATGTATAAAACACCATTGTTCATAACTTTGTAGTCTGAAATGTAACACTTATTATAAGGAATACCTGTAGTCATTAAGAGCACAGACTTGAGCCTGGAGTCAGACTTCCTTGGTGTGAATCCCAGCTCTGGTCCTAACCAGCTATGTGACTTGGGCAAGTTATTTAACCCTCTTTCCCCTTACCCCCAATGCTTTAGTTTCATTATCTGTAAAGTGGAAAAAATGCCATATCCCATCAAGTTTATTGTATGATATGTAATTAGTTTATATACCACTAGTTTAAGAAGCTTTCATAGCCAATTAAACTAAGATGCTATTGATTATAAGAAGTATTCAATTGTGCAGTTTATAATTGAGGAAGTACATAAATAGTATATAATTCTTAGGGTTGTTTTGAAAATTAGATGAGTTAATATAAATAAATGTAATTAATATAAATAAGTAGTTAAAAATTACTGAGTTACCACATCCTGTTTTAGTTTGGCTCTTAAATTTTTCAATATTGTTTGCAAAGTTAGCCACATTCTTTAATACATAGCTACTTAAAATTAAAGTCAAGAGGCACTTACTAAATTACACATTTTAAATTGGAATTGCAAGGCTAATTCGACAAATACTCTAATTTGCTAAATTTTCAAACATTATAAGCATTTTAAATACCAAACAGATATAGATTGTTTCAATGATTACGACATTTATTCCTGAATGAATCATAGTTTGGAGCCAGATTCTTTAAGGACAACTTCCAGCTCCAACACTAATTAGCTGTTTACTCATCTGTAAAATGGGGTTGGTATTCTTTCATCAAATCCAAAGCAATATCTGTGGTAAGATAAACCATTCCTTTATGTGTCCTGAGAAGAAAAAAAAAGATACTGCAGATTAAGTGACATGTTATCAATTATAAGCTGTACCAAGACTTCAGAAATGGTAATAAGTGAATAAAACATAAATTATTAACCTATTTATTTCTAATATACAATTACTTATTTAATAATTTCTACATATAATTCTAAACCAGTGGTTCCAACCTTTTTTCTGCCATGCCCCACCTAAGCATCTATATAATCCTGATGCCCCCCCCCCCTTGACTTATAATTCTTACTAGAGGCCTGATGCACAAAATTCGTGCAAGGGGTTTGGCTGTGGTGGCCGCCTCTGCCTCGGCCCCCGCCACCACAGCTTCATCTGGAAGGACGTCCAGAAGGACGTTTGGTTAATTAGCATAGTACGCTTTTATTATTATAGAGTATTCAAAAAATGAACTCCTATTCAGGTGGAGGAAACCTTAAATGCCATTAACTTGGTCTAAACAAGCTTCCAAAGAACATGGCATCCATGAAAGAGAAAAATAAAAGAGCAAAAGGACAGTTGAAGTACTAAGAAAGAAATCACTAAGAAATTGTTAAAAAAGTAACATGAAGTATATGAAAAAATAGCAAATAAAGTTTCAAAACATAATAGAAAACTGAATGCATAAATATATCACAATATATATTTATATACTATAGATGAGGCCCCTAGAACCATAAGAAATGCAAGAGATTCACTGTTAATAACTCATTCTAGAATTGCCTCCCTTAAAAATCAAATTGCCCCCCTGTGGAGTTTGTGCCCCATGTTAGGAACCACTGTTCTAAACACTCCTGTGGTTTCAAAACAAAATCTCAGTGAATTGAAGTTATGTTCTCAAGTTACATTAACATCTATGTGGAGTCAGGTTGCTTATCACCTGGGGATTTTTTGCTTGGATGTGAGACATATTTACCAGATGGCAAAGTTTTTATAAAATACGTTTTTATTGATTTTTAGAGAGAGAGAGGAAAGGAGAAGGAGAAGGGAGAGATTGAAACATCAAACAGCTGCCTCCTACATATTCCCTACTGGTGATCGAGCCACAACCCCAGGCAGGTGTTCTGACTGGGAATTGAACCATGGCCTCCTGGTTCATAGGTTGATGCTCCACCACTGAGACATACTGATTGGGGCAAATGCGGAAGTTTTATAACTCAAGTCCCCTACATACAGTTAAGCACTTTATGCAGATCTCTGATTTGAATCTTTAATCCTCTTACCCAGGCTACTTTACCACTCAATTGTAATTAACTAATTTATTTACTGCTTGATCTGTTCTGATTTCTTCTTATTCTTACAGTTTGGACTGCAGCCCATAGAGTTTAAAGTGACATCTGATTAACTTCTGCATGCTTCATATGTTTTAGCTTTAAAAAACAACAACCACTTATCTTAGAAATCTTTCCCTCTTTGGTTTCTTGAACTTGATTCACAGATAATTTTTATTTTGCTTGATTTTTCAAGTAGTGAAGCAATAGGGGAACAGTAAGGCTACTTCTCAGAAGTCTTCAGTTGAAGGAAACTTTATTTAATTGCACAAAGAACATTAATAGAAGTAAAGGAAATAAAAATGAAAAGTGACATCTATTCGTAATCTTCCTGTTTCAATTATTTTAATCTTTTCCTCTTTTAATCATTATCTAATATAGAACGTTTATCTAATTATACCCATGTCATAAATCCAGTTTTGAAATCAGACATGTCACAGAACATTATTAGCTCATTTATTTTGCCTTCAAAATTTTATTTTTAATGACAGTTATGGACTAGATACATTTTATGTAACCATTCACCTTTATTCACCTCATTGTTATTCTATATTACACTGCAATAAATATCCTTGCACTTCTGTTTTTCTTCTTTTGAATTATATCTTCAGATAAGTTAGAAGTAGAATTGCTTGATCAAAAGGGTGTGAATATTTTTATAATTCTCTATAGCAATTAAGAGTAGATTTGGGTTTTCTTGGCAAAGGCTATCTTTGCATACTAATATAATTCGTCTTATCGAGTCAAAGAGCTGTCTAGTAAATACCCACTGTGGAAAAATGTGTCTCTACTTGCTGTAAGTAGCTTGTGAAGTAGAAACCACAGTCCCTGATTTCAACTGGCTTAGGGAAAAGCAGCAGAAGTATGCGATAACCAAATAACAGATGTAAAGGGTGTCCCAAAATTCACGCAAGAAGTAATTTTGATAGAAAACACAGGTTTATAATTAAAAATTGTAAATTTTTTACTGATTCATAAAGTATACAGTATAGGGTTATGTATGGAATAGCATATCGGGTAAATGGCCTCCACGGCTTTGCTGGCACATACGCACTCTTGTTGAAATTTTATCATGTCGTGATAGCGAGCACCATTAACTGTTATTGCCTGAGCAGCCGCATTTTCGAAGAAGAATGGTCCGATGATGCCTCCAGCCCAAAATCTGCACCAAGCAGTGACACGTTGTGGATGCATTTGTTTCTCAACAATCACTCGTGGATTTTCTGAACCCCAAATGCGACAATTTTGTCGATTTACTAAGCCATCAAGATGAAAATGAGCCTCATTGCTGAAGATGATTTTGTTTGAAAATTCAGCATCCTCTTGTTGTTGTTCCATAATCCATTCAACGAACTCTATTCCTCTGCGTGGTCAGTAGGCTTCAGTTCTTGAGCCAGTTGAACTTTGTAAGCATGAAGATGCAAACCTTTCATGAGAATACGCTGTAGAGAGCTTCTCGAAATGTCCAATTCTTGACCAGGGGGCCGAATTGATGTCCCTGGACTCTCAGCAACACTCTCACGAACTGCTTCGATGTTTTGTGTTGAACGACTTGTTGAAGGACGGCCAGAGTGTTTAAGATCAGTAATTGATCCAGTCTCCCTAAATTTTTTAATTAATCTCTTCACAGTTGATGAAGTTAAATCACTATTCCGACCATATTTTGCACAAAAATTGAGAACTGTAGCTGCCAAACCTTCATTATTTTTAAAATATTGCTCAACTATAAAAACATGTTCTTTCACGTAGCGCTCCATTTTTAATAACCCTGAACTGTTAGCTGTCACGCTATCTTTTTTTTTCATTGGCAACACTTTATGGCACAAATGGCGTAAAATTCAAATCTTGCGTGAATTTTGGGACATGCTTTAGTTAAATATCAATGATAGCAAAACAAAAGATAATCAACATTTACAGAATATAGGCCCTGTGCTAGGCCCTCTCTTAAATGCTTTAGTTGTACAGTAACCTCACATTTTATCCTTCCAACAATCTTTTGTGAGGGTAAATCCTATCATCCCCATCTTAGAGATAAAGAACCTAAGTTACAAAAAGGTGAAATAACTTGCCCGCAGTCACACAGTTAAAAGTAATGGTGCTATAAATTGAACCCAGGAGGTCTGATCTCATAGCTTTGTGCTCTTAACCTCACAAAAAGTGGAATGTAGATGGGGACTAAATTTAGGGGGCAGATAAGAATTTACAGGAAGTTTGGAAGGTGTGGGCAAATAATTTTTTTAAAAATTCAAACAATGTTAGGACTTTTTTTTTATGGAATCTATAGTGACTCCAGTTTTTAAAAAATCCACATTAATACCTTTCAAATGTTTCTATTTTAAAAGTCTATGATTAAAGCAGAAATATCCGTAATTATATTTTTAAGAAAAATTGCAATCTTGCTTGTCTTTCAGAAAATTAATTCTGAGGAACTTAGAAGGTGTTTAAAAGTTAATCTATTACTCTGAGACAACAATGTTTAGATTTAATTTTCTACTAAAATTGTTCCTAGACTCACTTCTTTTATGAATGTTTAAGTTTTCAATAAGCAACTCTCTTATCTTCACCACTGAAGCACTGAAAAAAACATATATAATCATAGATGAAACCGTCTACATTTGCTTCTGAAATCTGGCAGAAGCAAACATCTACAATAGGACATTTATTTATGTTCTCAATATTCCCTAATCTTTTTTTTTTATTTTTATTGACTTCAGAAAGGAAGGGAGAGGGAGAGAGAGAGAGATAGAAACATCAATGATGAGAGAGAATCATTGATCAGCTGTTTCCTGCATGCCCCACTCAGGAGATAGAGCCCGCAACCTGGGTATATGCCCCAATTTGGAATGGAACCGTAACTTCCTGGTTCATAGGTCGACGCTCAGCCAGTGAGCCATGCCATCCAGGCTTCCCTTATCTTTTTGAGGCTATCCTATGGGCCCAAGAAGCCCACTGGAAGGACTGCATTGTATAGTCAACAAGAAATTGTTTAAAAATATGAATACTTGACTGACCTGATTAATGTGTTTTCTTTTACCTACTGTCTTAAATCTTGCTTATAATGTCTCATTCTCATCCAAATTGAAATACTTAATATCTCAAATGATACACCTGTTACTAAAATTTTGCTTGTTTTTAGCTTCTTCCTGATTCACATGTTCCCTTATTCCATATTTTAATCGGAAAAAATTCTGTCAGGAGACTCTAAAACTTTTGAAATTTTTCTGCTGACTGCAGAAATATTCCCAAACTGCTATAGCCTTGAACTTTCTTACTTAAAAAAAAACTATGTTTTTATTGATTTTTTTTTTAAGAGAGGAAGGTAGAGGGAAAGAGATAGAAACATCAATGGCTGCCTCCTGCAAGCCCTCTACTGGGAATTGAGCCCACAACCCAGGTGTATGCCCTGACCAGGAATTGAACCAGCAACTTTTTGGTGTGTGGGAGGACACTCAATCCACTGAGCCACACCGGCTGGGCTGGACTTTCTTACTTTTCCTCAACATTTTGGTCTTAAATTATTTTGATCACTGCCTAAGTATCAGAGAATCCTTTTGATACTTAGCATTTTTCTTCACATTTCCAAATTAAATAATAATTTTAAAAAGCATCAGATATTTTGTTGCCCAAATTTAGTTTCTTTACTTCCTTAGTTAATTTTCTCAGATCTCCAAATGCATTTTCTTGACTCCTGGGTCCACTCCATTTAAAGTCTTTCATTTTGCCCCAAAGTATTAACATGGCATATATAGAATCCTATATAATAAAAGGCTAATATGTAAATAGACCAAATGGTGGAATGACTGGCAGACACTCAATGCAGGAGCTGCCCTCTGGTGGTCAGTGCACTCCCACAGGGGGAGCTCCGCTCAGCCAGAAGCCAGGCTCACGACTGGTGAGGGCTCCCAGACTGCGAGAGGGCGCAGCCCAGGCTGAGGGACCTCCCCCCCCCCCCCAGTGCATGAATTAACATGGCATATATAGAATCCTATATAATAAAAGGCTAATATGTAAATAGACCAAATGGTGGAATGATTGGCAGACACTCAATGCAGGAGCTGCCCTCTGGTGGTCAGTGCACTCCCACAGGGGGATCTCCGCTCAGCCAGAAGCCAGGCTCAGGACTGGTGAGGGCTCCCAGACTGCGAGAGGGCGCAGGCCAGGCTGAGGGACCTCCCCCCCCCCCCCCAGTGCATGAATTTCGTGCACCAGGCCTCTAATATGTTATAATGTTATATGTTACAATAGTCCAGATTTGCATGTGTAGTTTTTTTTTCAATGAAGAGTTAAAGATATAATTTTCATCTTAATGGAGAAATGTGTGTAACTGTTACGATTATGAATGTGGTTTCTTCATTAGCTTTCATGTGTCATATATGAAAATAAACTTAAGAGTTAATCCTGGTTTTATTTTTTTTACAGAGTACTTACATGATAAACTAGAGGAATATATAAAACAATTTCCTATAGTAAAAATAGTCAGACAAAGAGAGAGAAAAGGTCTGATCACTGCACGGTTGCTAGGAGCAACAGTAGCAACAGCTGAAACGCTCACATTTTTAGATGCTCACTGTAAGTATATATGTGTAGACATGGTTGTAACATTTTTCCTTCCCCTACCCCCTAATTTAAAAGGTAAGAAAGCCTTTTCTTTAAATGCCTAATTGCATTTTCTTTAACATCATTTTCAACTGGTGATTATAGCATTGACAGCCCAAGAAGATTATAGCTTTAGTACACAGGGACTTCCTTTCACTTATGCAAATTTCTTGCCTTCTTTGCAATTAAAGCTCCTCAACTTTAATGTTTTACAGTGGCCAGCTTCCCCAGCAAGTTATTCCTGCTTGGGATCTTTTTCTGATGCTTGTTATATTTTTTGAAAGTGTTTTTATCCTTATTATTCTTGATTCCTATAATTAAAAAATATTTTTATTGATTTCAGAGAGGAAGGGAGAGGGAGAGAGAGAGAAAAAAACAACATGAATAATGAGAGAAAATCATTGATCTGATCAGCTGTCTCTTGCATGCCCCCTACTGGGGATCAAGCCTGCAACCCAGGCATGTGCCTTGACTGGCAATCAAAACATCAATCACTGAGCCACAACGGCCAGATGCCAGATGATTCCTATAATTTTAGATGAGTGAAAGTTTGTTTGTTTACATGTAGTCAACCCTATCATAAACTTTGTTCCTATACTAACATTTTTAAGTTGTATATTTCAATTCTTCCCCCCCCGCCCCCCCCCCCACTTCCTCCCCCAAGGATTCACACACTCCTTCTTGTACCAAGATACCCCTTCCAATTTCTGGTATCTCTTCCATGAACATTGTCAGTTGTTGCTGGGTTTTTTTCCTTTGTATTTTATGTGTGTGTGTGTTTTGTTTGTTTTTTGGCGTTTTTTTTTTCTTTTGGTGTTGTGTGTGTGTGTGTGTGTGTGTGTGTGTGTGTGTGTACGATTCTATATAATAAAAGTGTAATATGCTAAGTGTCCGACCAATCGGTCGACCGTTTGATTGACCGCTTAACCAGTTGCTATGACACGCACTGACCACCAAGGGGCAGATGCTCCAATTGGTAGGTTAACTTGCTGCTAGGGTCTGACCGATTGGGACTGGGCAAGAGGGCTGGACACAACCTGGAGCCTTCCCGTGGTCCCTCTCCAGCTGGCCAACCAACCTCCCGTGGTCCCTCTCCGGCCAGCTGGCCCCCATTGGCCCCGATCAGCCTGATCGCCAGCCAGGTCGAGGGACCCAACCTGTGCACACATTTGTGCACCAGGCCTCTAGTTTTAAATAAATTTGCAAAATATTTTTAGAGTCAATGTTTAATGTACACATTAGGTATTACTGAAATGTCATTTTGTCCCTTCAGCTCTAAGTTTGCTATAGTGGGTGTTACTTTTTGTATGAGCATTTAGCTCTGAATTTGCTAGCCCTTGGTTGTGTTTGACCCAGCAAATGGTAGTGAGCTTACACTAATGGTCACAGAAGGGCTTTTGGATTTGTTAGGAGTCTCTTTAGAGCTAACACATCCAGTAATCTTTTAATACCAGCCACTTAAAAATGAAGAGAGATCTAGGGTAATCCAAGAGAGGTGATTTTAAAAGGAAATGGTTCATCCTCCAGTCTTCCCTCTCTTGGTCCAAAATGATAATAATGTCAGAGTGGACCTTCTTCCCCTCTGGGCGAATGTGTTTGAAGTTCCTCCTGAACCATGACTGTCCAACTGCCCTTGTTGGGAGCCCTCAGTAGGACTGTACATGTCGGCATCTCCTGAACTCTCTGTGGTTTGTGAGATGGCCTGGCTTATGACGAGGGCCCAGACCTTTCATAGCATTCCTTTGCCCCACCTTCCATTAAGGCTGGGACAGGCTTGAATGTTCCTTCTTCTCCAACTGCTAAAATCATAATATTCTGACTCCTTGACTTACTTTCTTCTAAGATCCAGTTAGAGGAATGAAAATTTTGATTACTCTATTTTACTCAGGGAAGACCAGTTTAAGTAAGTCAGAATACATTTGGGGCTAGATGGTATGGATCAGCAAAAACTTTCTTAGATTCATGGCCCATTAGAAAGAGAAATACCTCATCTGAAACTTAAATACACTGATATCATTTTGCTCCCTTTCTAAGTTATAAAACCGAACATCATCTGTACGAAAATTTTCCCAATGATGCTGAATCTTGTTTACTTTTTAAATCCTACCTTGATCTCTTCACAAGAAAACTTTAAGAAACCTCCCCCTATAAAAATGTTCGAAATACAAATGACTTTGTTCTCATTTCTCTGTAAACCCACTTCCCAAAAACAAAAGGGAAAAAACAAACAAACCAGATTTCATTGAATTAATTACAATTGTGTTCCTTTCAGGTGAGTGCTTTTATGGTTGGTTAGAACCTTTGTTGGCCAGAATAGCTGAGAACTACACTGCGGTTGTGAGTCCAGATATTGCATCCATAGATATGAACACATTTGAATTCAACAAACCTTCTCCTTATGGAAGTAACCATAACCGTGGAAATTTTGACTGGAGCCTTTCATTTGGCTGGGAAGCACTTCCTGATCATGAGAGGCAAAGAAGGAAAGATGAAACCTACCCAATTAAGTAAGTTGAGGGTATACAAAGTCATATATCTACATAAATGGATACATGTCTATTTCAATTATTTGAATATGTATGCAGGCTTTGCTTTTTATCATAATTGCCTCCAAGATAATTCACCCTAACAAAATAAAGAGCACACCCATTGTATATGTAGGGAATAGAGAATTCATTTATTTATGTACTTACCCATGATGTTAGTGAGTAAGAATTAGCATTAGGTGAGCTCGTATGCCTTCTTTGTAATTATTACTTAAGAATCTTTAAGCTTGGTTAGAAGATACTTAATAATTTTACTCCATTGAGAAAGGATACTTAAAATACCCTCTCCTCAACTTGACTTTGAGGAAAGCATTTTCAGTTTTTGTTAATCTATCTAAGAGCTTTGGAATTAGAATCTCTCTTTAATATGTTTGTGGATTTGATTCAGTTGTTCTTTAAAGATGTTCTTTTTTCTTATTTGACTTTTATAATACAGTTTGACAATGGATTATTTTTCAGAACACCCACTTTTGCAGGAGGCCTTTTTTCCATATCAAAAGAATACTTTGAATATATTGGAACTTATGATGAAGAAATGGAAATCTGGGGAGGTGAAAATATAGAAATGTCTTTCAGAGTAAGTTTATAAACATAGCATACCTATAAAAGAGTGAAATCTATAGTTTGTTCTAATTGGCTGATTACCATGGATGTATATAGTCTTTACTTTTTGTGCTTTCTAAAATTTAATTGCTAGAAATTTTAGAATAGGATATTTCCTTTAAAAACGTAACTTAAACCCTAGCTGGTTTGGCTCAATGGATAGAAGGTCGGTCGGCCTGTGGATTGAAGGGTCCCAGGTTTGATTCTGGCCAAGGGCACATGCCTGGGTTTCGGGCTTGATCCCCAGTGTGGGATGTGCAGGAGGCAGCCAATCAATGATTCTCTCTCATCATTGATGTTTCTATCTATCTCTCCCTCTCCCTTCCTCTCTGATATCAATAAAAAAATAAATAAAATAAAATAAACTGTGAAAAATGATTTAAAAAAATGTAACTTAATATATTTACTCATTGCTGCCAATGTAACAGGAGGAATCAGTTAAATGCCTGTGTCCAGGCAATAACACCAATTAATGCACTTGTAGCTACTGAATTCCAGCCAAGATAAATATAATTAAATCTAGTGCTTCAGGAAATAAGTTGATTCTCAAGGGAGTCAGAATGGAGAAACATTTATGTATAATTTTAAAGGACATTGAATTTAACTTTTTGGATTAAATGAGATCCCCCATCCCTAAACATACGAAAAGTTAATATGAGAAACAAAACAAAGGCTTTGGATGGTCTCCATATGTACTTATTTGATTTCATGAATTCATTTTCTGCAATGACTTTGTCATTCATTTTTATCCCCTATGTTGGAATGTAGTGGAAAAATAACTGAACTAGGAGTTAGAAGATTTAAGTTTTGGCTCTGACTCCATCTACCCCATAATGGCAGTGATGATCTTAGCCAAGTATGAACTGCTGAAGGGCAGAGGTCTTGTTTTATTCATTTCAGTATTCCCAACCCTTCACACATGTTAGATCTCAAGCACAGTTTGTTGAATTGAACATATCACTGAGTTTTCTCATTTGTTTAAAAGAGAGAAAAAAAAGAATTTGATCGCTTGCCCTAATACTAGCTCATATTATTAAACATTATTTTAGATTTCTTGCTTAGTGATTATTTATGGCAGAACTAATTGTCAAGATATTTAAGTGGATAGGTATTGATTTAATGATTTATCATTTTATTTAGAGTTAATGCAAGGATTTTTTTTACTATCTCTACATACATATGAGTGTTTTTTTTTTTAATAAATGACCAATTACTTTATAAGTTTAATAGATTTTACTTTGGTAATAATGACTGTTCAGAATTGTTGTCTTCACTAAAAATTGGATATGTAAGGGATAATGGAGTGTGGGTTCATTTACTACAAGGTCACTAGAAGAGAGTAACCATTTAAGTTGTATAAGAAGACAGAAGTCAAATGCAGAAAAGGCTTTGATCTTCTGTGTATATTAGAGCTTGCATAATTGTTTGCAAAAAATAAATTCTGGGTTTCATTTTTATAAGAGATCTGAAATAATTATTATGTTAAATTTCTGAAAATATGCTTTGGTTGACTTTAGTATACCATTTAATAAAATTGCTCTTTATATTTAAGAACTTAAGCTGAACTGACGGGGCAGAGACTATTTGTGAAGTTGTGCTAAAATTCTTCTATATTTTGCTTTTAATAATATCTTATAGGTGAACTTAAAAGCAACACTTTGATTTTCCTAAAATACTGTAAATTTAAACAAATATCATTAATTATCAGGTATGGCAATGTGGTGGGCAGTTGGAGATTATGCCTTGCTCTGTTGTTGGACATGTTTTTCGCAGCAAAAGCCCTCATACCTTTCCAAAAGGCACTCAGGTGATTGCTCGCAACCAAGTTCGCCTTGCAGAAGTCTGGATGGATGAATACAAGGAAATATTTTATAGGAGAAACACAGATGCAGCAAAAATTGTTAAACAAGTAAGTTAGAGCTAAATCATTAAATTACAATAAAAATCCACTCCCCAGTTCCCATGTTCTTTTACTTATTTGAATCAATTCAAATACGGAGTATTTTAAAAGGCTGTTTTTGAAGCTGGCTTTTTTAACTCTTAAAATATATAACTTATGATGCCAGTTCAATTTTTTTTTTAAGGAAAATTGAGTAAACTGCTTTTTAAAAATTTAGGCATTCTCCTTGATTATATCCTTTTGGAAAAAAAAATATTGATTTCAGAGAGGAAGGGAGAAGGAGAGAGAGATACTAACATCAGTGATGAGAAAGAATCATTGATCAGCAGCATCCTGCATGATCCTCTACTAGAGATCAAGCCCGCAACCTGGGCAGGTTGCCCTGACTGGAATCGAACTGTGACCTCCTGGTTCATAGGCTGATGCTCAACCACTGAGCCACACCATCTGGGCGATCATATCCTTTTTAATATTGGAAGCCATTTAGTTTTGTAACTGCCTTGGTTAAAAATTTTTCTTGAAGAAAAGATTAAGTGGAATTGTTTTTAACTGGTCTTAGGTGATGTGATTAACACCTAAATCAATGTGCTAAGTGGCTTTTTGAACTGGAGATGGAGACATTGTCAGAATGTGGCCAGAGAATAAGCCAGGAGTATCAAAGCCTTTCTTTTCCCCCCAAGTTCTGGTTCCACTACACACTGGAGGGACCACCTTGGCAAAGCCCCTTTGAAACTGTAATTAGGGATGGCACTTCATAAGTTGGTTAAGAGCTTGGCTGGATGTGGGATGTGTGCTCAACCAATTCTCTTCTCTGTCCTTCCGTGTTTTAAGAGAGGAAATACTTGCCTATCTCCCAGAGTAGTTGTGAAATAAATAAGTGCTAACAAATGGTACTGTTATTGACCTGCCATAGATAAAAGCGCTGCAGAATCATGGTGTCCAATACAGGGAAACTGAGTTCCAATAGGTTTCATATTGGATGTGGTAAATGAACTGGACAATTTAAGAACATGCTTCAGTGAATGGCACCCAACTCTTTTTTTTTTAGTTATGTTTTAATTGATTTAGAGAGAAGAAGGGAGAGGGAGAAGGGGATAGAAACATCAATGAGGAGAGAGAATCATTGATCGCTGCCTCCCAGGGATTGAATCAGCAACCTGGGCATGTGCCTGACCCAGATTCAAACTGGCGACCTTCTGGTGCATGGGTTGATGCTCAACCACTGAGCCACATCAGCTAAGGGGCACCTAATTCTTTATAAGAAACAGTACTGATTTGTGGGGAGGGGGTTGTATACTGGGTTTAGAGGGCATCAACATGTTGACTGTCATAAAGATATGGTTACTTATATTCTCTTTTTCTTTGGCCTCCATTGTCTCCATGTAACATGTCAGAAGGATGCAAAGTCAGAGCCCTGCTGGGTTAGATTGCTATCTTTTTACCCAAGGCCACTAAGACAAATTGGGCAGATTGTATACTGCACAAGGGTACTTGGCTAAGCAGGCAAGTAGGCGCTAAATTCAGCTTATGCTCACCCATAAAGAGGAGTGTGAACCAACAACCCTGCCCCCCCCCTTTTTTTTTAACAGAGGGCAATAGATCTGCTTGTAAAATGCATAAGCTAGCCAAAAGTTCTTTGTAGAGTTTTACACTTTTTGCTAAAACACCTGGGTTCAAGACTTTGAAGCTGGTAAGGAAAATATTTTCTGTAGTTGAACTGACTAGCTTGAGAATTTACCTTTTCATATATTTAGGTACCAAAGATAATATAATTTTCTTTAAAAATTTTCCTACAGACCAAATTCCTTTTCAGTTTAATAGTGCTTTTAAAAAAAGTTGTTTGTTTAGTTCCTTAAATAAAATGCCATTGCCTTTTTCTACCAATATACTGTTATTGCTAGAATATTATGAGGGCTATTGTTAGGAATAAGCTACACCCATAAAGCTAGAAAAAAATTTTTTGTGTGTGATCTTGACTAGAGAAAAGGTATAAATTACATTATGTTTGGCACTTTCTCTATGCCTGTTTTCTCACACCTCACTTTACAGATCATTTTGGGGATCAATTTTGAATGCTCTCACTACCATTTCTTTGCTCATAGCATTTTGCTAGAGATCTTTGTCCCATGGGGGAGATTTGTGGTACATAGGAAGAGTAAAATAACCCTTGACCAGCACCATGGTGGTACCTGATTCCCTTTGAAGCCAGAAATGAGCAAGTGGGAATACTTGTTGCATGAATGAATTATGAATGCAATTAAATTTTATCTTGCATTTAGCCCAGAAATTTTTTTAAGACCTAAAGATAAATACTAATAGCATTTGAAGTACTTTACCAGTGCTGTTTTGATGAAGCCTTCTCTTCACTTGTTATCTTTCTCCAGAAATCATTTGGTGATCTTTCAAAAAGATTCGAAATAAAGCACCGCCTTCAATGTAAAAATTTTACATGGTACCTGAACAATATTTATCCAGAAGTCTATGTGCCAGACCTTAATCCTGTTATATCTGGATATGTGAGTATTTTCCTGTTCCTTTTTACTTGGTATACTCCTTGCCACCAACATTTATGTGGTTCAGGGGAAATTGCTGAAATACTTTCAGGTTGTTTGCTTTTGAAATTTTTACACTATTCTTATTTACCCTACTTGTTGAAATCAATTGAAGAAATATATAAACTACATGGATTTAAATTTTTTTTATAACTTGAAAATTTCCCTTTAGATTAAAAGCGTCAGTCAGCCTTTATGTCTGGATGTTGGAGAAAATAATCAAGGCAGCAAGCCATTAATTCTATATACGTGTCATGGACTTGGGGGAAACCAGGTGAGCCCTGCATTAAAAACCCTCCCTTCTTACTAGTCCTTACAAACACAAGTTGTCGCATATTTTTCGAAGTCCTACATCAGTTTTATATTCGCGTAACTGGTGTGTGAAATGTTTCTAGATTAAGTTTGGAAATTTACATTGAAGTTGTAGAGCGCTTTATTTTGATTTTCACTCTGGCTCTGAAAACAATTTGAAGTTGCTTACCTATTCAGTAGAAAGGCAAATGAGAAAATAATGGAATAATGCCTTTTAAAATAAAAAAGGATCTTTTATATGGAATTTTTATACTGTGTGACTATTGGCATGGTGATTTTGCAAAATTATACATAAAGGTTATATTTAACTGGATTCAATAGTGAATTATAAATCATGTTAATCCCAAAAAAGCAGTGTTATAAGTAATTTTCATGGCCATAATAAATGTTCTAAAAATAAGGTATGTTCTTGATTCTCTTTGATTGATGACATTTCTGCTTGTTACTACTTATTTGACTGTTTTTACCAATTTAGAATCAAATGTCAAATGTCACTGTTTGGCCTACTATTGGTAGAGAACATATTAAAATATTATTTGAGTTTTTACCTTTCTTTCCTTGCCTTTACAAATAAACTCCTGGAATGATTAGACTCTTTCTTTCATTTGTTAATTCAGCAAATTCATGGAGTGACTCCTGCATGTCAGATACACTGCTGGGCTCAAGCAGTTTAGATTCTAACTCCTTCAGGAAATCTGTATTTCAGAAAGTAGGCAAGGTATAATGGTTACAGGTTACAGGCAATGTGGGCTGAGTGGGGTTGCAGAGGGCAGGCGGCTGCCTCCAGGACCAGGTTATAGGCAATAAGGGCTGGGGGTTGCAAAGGGCGAGGGCGTCTGGGATTAGATTGTTTCAGACAAGAGGTTGTAAATCTTTACATAATGGTAGACAGTTTCTTGGGAAATGAGGATGGACTGCATTCTGATGTTAACTTCCATATCCCAAAGCATATAACTCTCAGCCAGGTTACCAGCCGTGGGCAAACTACGGCCCGCAGCCGGATGTTTGAAATGAATAAAACTAAAAAAAAAAAAGACCATACCCTTTTATGTAATGATGTTTACTTTGAATTTATATTAGTTCACACAAACACTCCATGTTCCGGCCCTCCGGTCCAGTTTAAGAACCCATTGTGGCCCTCGAGTCAAAAAGTTTGCCCACCCCTGGGTTAGACTATGCTTTCTCTAGTCAGAAAAATCATGCTTAACAGAGAATGGTTAATATTTCTTTTTAAAAAAATATATTTTTATTGATTTTAGAGAGGAAGATAGAGGGAGAGAGAGATGGAAACATCAATGATAAGAGAGAATCAGCAATTGGCTGCCTCCTGCATGCCCCACACTGGGGATCGAGCCCACAACCCAGACATGTGCCCTGACTGGGAATTGAACAGTGAGCTCCTGATTCATAGGTCAATGCTCATCCACTGAGCCACACCTCTGGGCATAGCATTATATTTGTTTTTATCATAAAAGTTGAAGATATATTTTATAACATTGTTTCATCAGCTTTTCTCTTATCATTGCCATAAAGATGTTTTTATAGTTTTGTCTCTGGAGAAATAATTCACATATTCTTCCAACAAATATTTGTTTAGAGCTTATAATGTAACATGTACTGCTATAGTTGTGAAGTCAAAATCCCTGATCTGGTCTGGTGGAGCTAGTGTTCTAGAAAGGAAGGAAAAAAAGAAATATGTGATTTTGGGTATGAAGAAAAATAAAGCAGGATGGGGGGAAGTGTGTGTGTGTGTGTGTGTGTGTGTGTGTGTGTGTGTGTGTAATTTTCAAGGTTCAGGAAGACCTGTTTGAGAAGGTGACCTTAGAGTCGAGGCCTGAGGGAGTTAGGAGAGGAACCATTTCCCAGGGGGAGAACCTCTGCACAGGGAATGAAAGGCCAGAGGCCCAGTGGCAGGTACATGGAGCACACGGGAGGCCAGTGCAGGAGCAGAGTGGTCTGGGAAGAGAAGTGTGGGAATTGAGGGCAGTGACATCAATGGGGGGTCCTGGTCATACAGGTTTTACAGACCTTCTTAAGGGCCTTGGATTTAATTCTGAGCATGACAGAAGCCATTTGAGGGTTTTGAGCAAGAGGATAATATCTTTTGGTTTATATTTAAGAAGATAATTCTGGCTTCTGTTACCCTAACTTAGCCACCAATTTTATTTTGGTTTATTTCCTTTAAATTTATTTTCAATCAAGTATTGAATTTAAACTACTTTGTGAATTTTAGTTTCTAGTGCTACATGTTTTTGAGATATCATCTAACTTAATCATTTCCTCATGCTCTTTTCTACTGTTTTGACCAGATAATTATATTTTTATAATCTAAAAATTCATTGTATCAGTATTTGTATATGCCAAGTAAAAATATTTTGATAATGCAATTAAATTGACAAATAAGCTGTGCAAGGCAGTCTAAGTCATTATGGCTTTTAAAAAATTATTTTATTGCTTAAAGTATTACAAAGAGTATTATATATGTCTCCTTTTTTTTTCCCCCTTGACCTTCCCCTAGCCTCCCATACCCCCCAGTGTCTTGTGTCCATTGGATATGCTTATATGCATGCATACAAGTCCTTCGGTTGATCTCTTACCACCAGCCCCCCCCCCCCCCCCCGCCAACCCTCCCCGGCCTTCCCGCTGTAGTTTGACAGTCTGTTCAATGTTGCTCTGCCTCTGTATCTATTTTTGTTCATCAGTTTATAATGGTCTTAATTATCCATAAATGAGTGAGATCATGTGGTATTTTTCTTTCATTGACTGGCTTATTTCACTTAGCATAATGCTCTCCAGTTCCATCCATGCTGTTGCAAATGGTAAGAATTCCTTCTTTTTTACAGCAGCATAGTATTCCATCGTGTAGTTGTACCACAGTTTTCTAATCCATTCATCTGCTGATGGGCACTTAAGCTGTTTCCAGATCTTAGCTATGGTAAATTGTGCTACTATGAACATAGGGGTGCATATATCCTTTCTGATTGGAGTTTCTGTTTTCTTGGGATATATTCCTAGAAGTGGGATCAATGGGTCAAATGGGAGTTCCATTGTTAAATTTTTGAGGAAACTCCATACTATCTTCCATAGTGGCTGCACCAGTCTGCATTCCCACCAGCAGTGCATGAGTGTTCCTTTTTTTCCACATCCTCTCCAGCACTTGTCGTTTGTTGATTTGTTGATGATAGCCATTCTGACAGGTGTGAGATGGTACCTCATTGTTGTTTTGATTTGCATCTCTCGGATGATTAGTGACTTTGAGCATGTTTTCATATGTCTCCTGGCTTTCTGAATGTCCTCTTTTGAAAAGTATCTATTTAGGTCCTCTGCCCATTTTTTGATTGGATTGTTTATCTTCCTTTTGTTAAGTTGTATGAGTTCCCTATAAATGTTGGAGATTAAACCCTTATCGGTGATAACATTGGCAAATATTTTCTCCCATGCAGTGGGCTTTCTTGTTGTTTTGTTGATGGTTTCTTTTGCTGTGTAGAAGCTTTTTATTTTGATGTAGTCCCATTTGTTTATTTTCTCTTTAGTTTCCAATGCCCTAGGAGCTGTATCGGTGAAGAAATTGCTTCGGCATATGTCTGAGATTTTGTTGCCTTTGGATTCCTCTAGTATTTTTATGGTTTCCCATCTTACATTTAAGTCCTTTATCCATTTTGAGTTTATTTTTGTGTATGGTGTAAGTTGGTGGTCTAGTTTCATTTTTTTTGCATGTATCTGTCCAATTTTCCCAACACCATTTATTGAAGAGACTGTCTTGACTCCATTGTATGTTCTTGCCTCCTTTGTCAAATATTAATTGAGCATATTGGTTTGGGTCGATTTCTGGGCTCTCTATTCTATTCCATTGGTCTATATGTCTGTTCTTGTGTCAGTACCAGGCAGTTTTGAGAACAGTGGCTTTGTAATATTCATTATGGCTTTTTAACACAGTGTTTTGCTTCTTCCACTTTCTCTTCCAAGTTATTCATACTGGTTCTAAGTTACAAGTTTAGCCAATGTTCTCAGCTTTTTTTGTTGTCTAAGTATCTTCAACTATTTTCCATTCCTTATAATGCCCCTTTTAATGCTTTTAAAAAAGAGTGGAGCCCCAGCTGGTTGCTCAGTGGATAGAGCGTTGGCCTGTGGACTGGAAGGTCCTAGGTTCAATTCTGGTCAGGGGCACATGCCCAGGTTGTGGGCTCAATCCCCAATAGGGGGTATGCAAGAGGCAACTGATCAATGATTCTCTCTCATCATTAATGTTTCTATCTATCTCTTTTTCCCTCTCCCTTCCTCTCTGAAATCAATAAAAATATGTTAAAAAAGGTAAAAGGGGAAATTCATTCCTAAAAAAAAAAGTGTGGAGTAAAATACTGGACTGCCTTTCTTTGCAATCCTAAAATTTACTTTTCTTAAAGACATATAGCTAGAGTACTGTTTTCATGATCTAAACCCATTTTCTTTCAATGTCTCCTTCTGTCAGTTATAAAAATGACTGGCATAATATTTGTAGAAGGAGGTAAATTAGGCATGATACTAAGACCAAGGGAACTCAAGATTAATTCAGCTAGTGTTTGTACAGTGCCTATTGTCATACCCATAAAGGGTATAGAACAGTCTCTCCATAGGACATAATAAAGGCTCAGTAAATATTAGTGCTAAGACTAATTATTTAATTACTGAAAATCAGTTATATTCAGTTATTTTATCTTTGGTATGTCAACATTATGAAATGTTTGATTTGTAATGAATGCTATTACTAGTTACACTACCAGACTTTGCTCTGTGGTGAAGCCAGCTAGCTACGCACACAATTCCAATAGAGTGCAATAAAAGTTATCTTCGATGGACTATGGGAACCCTGAAAAGGATGTAATTTTGTGCAGTACAACAAATTCATGGAAAACTAAACAAGGAAAGGAATATTTGAATTGGCCTTTTGAAAAATAAAAAGGTGTTAGATAGGCATAGAATGATCCAGAAGGATATTCCAGGTAGAGCACAATCGGGCAAAGTCTTAGAGTTATAGATACACATGTTCTGCATTTGTAGAATTGTTTGAAAGGAGCATCTATATATATAAAAGCCTAAGTGACCGAATGACCAGTTGACTGGTTGCTATGATGTGCACTGCCACTAGGGGCAAACACTCAATGCAGGAGCTGTCCCCTGGTGGTCAGTGCACTCCAACAGCCAACCTCCTGCGACCGTCCAGCCTCCTGTGGTCCCTCCTCCCTGCCGGCTGGCCAACCTCTCCCAGTCCCTTCCCCACCGGCCAACCTCTCATGGTCCCTTCCCCCAGCCAGCCTGTGCCCCCATCGGCCCCAATCAGGGGGGCCAGCCATTCAACCTCCCGTGGTCCCTCTCCCCCACCAGTCAGCTCCCCTGATCGGCCCCGATCACCGGCCAGGCCAAGGGACCCCACCCTTGCACGAATTAGTGCACTGGGCCTCTAGTAGTATATAACTGGGACAATAGATAATAAAAGATTGAAAATGGAAGTTTCATGTTCCAATTAAGGAATGTGGACTTTATCTTAGCAACAGCAGTGACTCACTTTAGCAGGGGAGGTAGGGGATCAAATAAATGTTATAGAAGACAAACAGTGAACTGAAGCAGAGTGAACTGAAGTATAGGAGCAGAAACTGCAGATAACTGGAGGTGTTGCAGTAGAGATTTTGAGTGCCTGAACAAGAGCAGTTAGGATATGGAAGGAAGGATGGGTGGGATGGTAATATCTGAGAGAACAATTCAGTAGGACGAAGGGACTACTAGTAATTAATTGGACATATGGGGAGGAAGGAGCATCAATATAGTAACAATAGCTAAAATGTATTGAATGCCCAACATGAGCCAGTTATTATCATTGTTTGCATAAATTAACCCATTTCTCTTTATAATTCTAATGCGTAGGAGCTATTAATTTACCCAACTTACAGGCAAGGACACGGAGGCAAGGAGATTACCCCCTTTTAAACGTTCCTAGTTTAAATAAAAATGCCAAGAATTGAGATGAATAAGAGAAAAGGAACATTTGCAGTTAAGGTGCTTCTAGAGCTTCCTATGGAGTACCTGACCTAGCCTCCATCCTACCAGATAACTTCCAGTTTCTGAAATGGGGAGGAGACAATAACATCTTCATTAGGTAACTTCCTGTTGGTAACAGGTTGGAGAAAGGTTATAGTATCTTCTATCATAAAAACTCAGCTTATGTTCCTGATCCCAATTCCTACTGTATTATCTTGTTGAAGTAGACATGACTTCATTATTGGGCAAGTTGCTGATTTTTTTGGTTGGACTGTTATTTTGCACCTGAGCATATAGATGCTTTTGTCAGTAACAGCAGTCTGTCTTTCACAGTACTTTGAATACTCTGCTCAACATGAAATTCGGCATAACATCCAGAAGGAGTTATGTCTCCACGCTGCTCCAGGTCCTGTTCAGCTGAAGACATGTACCTACAAAGGTCACAAAACAGTTGCCACTGGAGAACAGATATGGGAGATCCAAAAGGTACCTCAGTGCAGTTAATTCACCCCTTTATGTAATTACTGTTTTGAATAGCTCTAATTGCTTATCTGGAAACATAGGTGAAACATTTTGTATTAATGTTATCCATCGGAACTTCTGAGCTTTTCTTATAAGTACCGCGCGCTAACCGATTGCGCCACTGGAGCTCTGACCCTGAGCTTTTCTTAACTTTGTTATTGTTTTTTTACCAATGTGATAAAAGAGAATATATGAGTTAAATACTCTTAGGAACAAAATAATTGGAAAGCTGCTTAGTTAAAGCATGGTTTATGCAGATCAACACTTCTGTGAATTATTAATAATTGTTGCCCATATTTATCTTTTTAAAGTTTCTTATAATGCGTCTTGTAATAGACATACTTTTTTCCTTGGCAGAGAGAAAAGAAAAATCATTATTATTATTATTATTATTATTATTATTTTACCTGAAGTGCTCAATTCTTTTCTTCCCTGTTTGAGTACCCTTTTGTGAATTTAGAACTAAGAGAATACACAAAAGTTCTTTTCTGTTTTTAAAAAACATATTTTAGGGATTAGCTGGAATCTAGTAACTCTTATCTGAAAACTGTTTTGTGAAATGCAAGAACACTGACTTTTATGACTTACATTTTTTAAAAGAGTTTGTCACTTATGGGTATATATAGCTGGAATGTTTCTTGTTTGAAAACTTGTTTGAGACCTTGCTCTGTATACCTCTCTTCATTTATATAATACTTTCTGTAGTGGCATAATTGGTGGTGTTTACTCCAGAAACCAACAAGATTTTATCAGACATAGTTGATCTTAGAAAATAACAAGTTAAGAATGGTGTATATTTGGTGTGCAGGTTTTCCTTTAGATTTGATGAGACCTGTTAGGGTTTGGGCCTGTGACTTGGGCTGAGAAGGAATTCACAACTAAAAGAAGGGATGTAGAGAGGAAGTTTATTTCACTTTCCTCCAAGGGAGAGGACCCTGCCCATGCATTGCTAATCAATACAGGGGCAAGAAGCAAAAACCGGGCTTCACCTTTTAAAGCAGTGGTTCTCAACCTTCCTAATGTCTCGACCCTTTAATACAGTTCTTCATGTTGTGGTGACTCCCAACCATAAAATTATTTTCATTGCTACTTCATAACTGTAATTTTGCTACTGTTATGAATTGTAATGTAAATATCTGATATGCAGGATATATTTTCATTGTTACAAATTGAACATAGTTAAAGCATAGTGATTAATCACAAAAACAATATGTAATTATATATGTGTTTTCCGATGGTCTTAGGCGACCCCTGTGAAAGGGTCGTTCGACCCCCAAAGGGGTCGAGACCCACAGGTTGAGAACCGCTGTTTTAAAGGGTAATGGCTGCTGTTGCTAGGTGACAAGGAAGGGAGGGGGATTTGAGGCTGAAGTGGAGTTTGTTTTTCAGGAGACAATACCAGCAGATGCCTTAGGGAGGTGTCTTACCAATATTTTTCGCAAGCTTGTAAAACATGCTTAGAGCAAAAGTTATGAAGAGCTCAAAAGAAGCCTATTTGAAGGGGGGAAGGGAGTTTTCTATTAACTAGAGAAACCTTGGTGCGAATTATCCCTTAGTTCTGAAAATAGCAGGGAGGAGGGGTATGCAAAAATGTAGCCTTGAGAGTATCTTGTATTTGTCTTGTAGTTTGAACACAGGGGCTGTTTGAATCAGAAGAGCTAACAATCTTAGGTGTTTCTCATAAATTGTTGAAGGCTATAGCAAAGAAAAAGAAAGGCCTTTTTTTTTTTCTTTTTCTGTCCTTACAAGACCATAAAGTAGTTTTTGTATTTATGAGTTAACTTTGAGTCTTAAAACTTAATGTCTGTTGTGTTTCCTTTCGTTCTAGGATCTACTTCTATATAATCCATCCTTAAAGATGTGCCTTTCAGCAAATGGAGAGCATCCGAGCTTAGTGTCTTGCAATCCATCAGATCCACTCCAAAAATGGATTTTTAGCCAAAATGATTAAGTGTTCCTTAAAATTAAGGAGTTGAAAAGGAGATATTTTTTCTCATAAAACTGTGACTAGGCATACACTGTAGTTTTTGAAAATTATGCAAAAGCAGCTAATTGTAACTTATTCCAAGTGCATTTTTCTTATTTATATCTTACAATGTCTCTGTAGCGTTGCTACGGAAATCCCTTGTTTCCATTTCAAAGCACAATAATTAATAATACCAAAGACTCTTTTGACATGTCTGTATGTAGGGGGAGATATGTTTACAGTATGATGAAAATAATTTTCCAAGTAAAGTGATGTTTGTGTGATTTGTACACTCAAGGATATGCACAACTACATTCACACACTCACAACTTAAAATATTTCTTCTAGTTTTGGGGAGGAAGGGAGAAAGATTTGATACTGTATTTTTTTAACTACATACAAATGGATCAATGAAGGTCAAACATTGGCCTTTATACACAAACCAGGAAATTTTTATAGATTTAGAATTTATTACATGAAAATGCAGGTAAATGTTTTTTTTTTCCTTTTGTTTACTGATCTGTCAAATGTTTCCTTAAACATGGAATTAAATGAATAAGCAGTAAACTATTTTTAAAACTTTAATTTCTTGGAAAATTTTAAAATATTTTTTATTCTGAAGCCCACTTGGTTTGAAGCACTTAAGTCTTTCTTAAAAGACTTTTCTTAAGTAACAATACTGTGTTTTCCCAAAGCAATTAAAAAAAATCTTTTATAACTTACTATCTGTTGAAAAGGTGTCTTTTTCCTTCTTGTCTTTTTTTTCTTACCAAAATTCACTAATCTTGAATGTTTGTGAAATTGAATTTTAAATGCAGAATACTTGACTCATTTAAAGTGAAATTTTATTTGTTACTGACTTAATTCAATTTGTTACTGTTCAGTTAATAGATTGTCTTGTGATGAATATTTTTCATTCAAAAAAAACTTCTTTCTCTCTATGTGGAAAACACAATAAAACAAAACCTTACTATTGTAACATTGGATTTATGTATTTTTCTCTTTTGGATAAAATATATCATTGATAATAAGTAGGGAAAGTATGAATTTTGTATTCTGAATTTCTAAGAACTGATTATAGAGCCATCAGATATTTCTTAAGGAAAACTCAAACGTTTGATAATCATGGCATAAAAAATGTGTAATGGAGAAGATTCCATGTTAGATGTTTAAAAAATTTTGTACTAATTCCTGGTAACTTTCCTTGAGCATCTGATAGAGTAATTTTTTTTTATGTGATGCTTATTTAGGAGATTTAGCACTTTTTTCTTTTTGGCCATTTTATATATAAGTCTCTGGTATTCTTATTTCAGAGGTGAAGTAGGATTGGGTTCATATTGTAAACCCGGCAGATCCTCACTTGTACAAAAGAAAAAAATTAAATATTGGTCCCATCTTCTCATTATTTGTAACTTTGAAATTGCATTTTTAAAAACCTGCATTCTTTAATTTGTCATAATTCCAACTTTTATTTCAATTAAAGTGCCATTTATTGTGTGTCTAACTTTATGACAAGTTATGGTAGGCAGAGTAAGACTTACATTGCCTTTGAGCTTAGGTCTTATGGAGCAGAAAGAAAGACATAATTTTGAAATAGTATCATGAGTGACTTTATGATGTTTTATTTTATGATGAGATGACAGGTCATTATTCATATTTGATATTTTTAATAAAGATATTTCTTTATTACTATAACATACTAATATGTATTGTGAAATATACACTAATACCCACTTACATGTACAACTTCTGTTTCTTAGTTTGTTACTCTAGAGCAGCGATTTGCAACTAGTGTACTGCAAGAATTTTAAAACATGCAATACCTAACCATTTAATCAGGGGCACTGAGATCTTTTCCTTTAGATTGTCAAATGAAAAGATGACAATAGCCAACACAATAGTAGTTTATTGTGAACAGATCAAAATTATACCTATTTTTTTGTCAGATTGGCAAAAAATATATTTTTTGGTGTGCTGCAGAATTTTATCAATTTATTTATGCCATGAGATCAAAAAGGTTGAAATTGCTACTCTAAATGAACATTCAGGAGCAAATATTGTCCCTAAAATTTTTTTATATCTCCTAATCCTATATAATAAAAGGCTAATATGCTAAGTGTCTGGTCATCCGGTCAGCTGTTCAACCAATTAAAACATGCTAAGGCCACTCAACCGCTCACTATGACATGCACTGACCATCAGGAGGCAGACAGTTGACTGGTTGACCAGTCGCTATGATGTTCACTGACCACCAGAGGGCAGACGCTCTGACTGGTAGGTTAGCTTGCTGCTGGTCCAGCCGATCAGGACTGAGAGAGACAGGCTGGAAACACCCTGGAGCCCTCCCGTGGTCCCTCCCTGGCTGGCCAATCTCCCATGTCTCTTCCCGGCCCTGATCGTGCATTGGTGGGGTCCCTTGGCCTGGCCTGAACCCTCTCGCAATCTGGGACCCCTCGGGGGATGTCAGAGAGCTGGTTTTGGCCCAATCCCACAGGGGGAGTGCCGCTCAGCCAGAAGCTGGGCTCACAGCTGAAGAGCGCAGAGGCGGTGGCAGGAGCCTCTCCCGCCTCCACAGCAGTGCTAAGGATGTCCAACTGCCTGGGGAGCGGGCTTAAGCCGGCAGTCGGACACCCCCCGAGGGCTCCCAGACTGCAAAGAAGGTGCAGGCCAGGCTGAGGGACGCCCCCCCCCCTAGTGCACTATTTTGTGTACTGGACCTCTAGTATGAAATAAAATTAAACAGAACAAATTCTCAAAGATATTTTATAAATGAACTTAAGTAAAACATATTAAAAACAAACAAATCTGAGTAATCTCAGTGTATTAGTCACATGCTGCCATGTCAAAAGCCAACCAAAATCTGCTTAGATTAATTAGGTTGATTGTTTTATGGCTGTGATAAATGCATTCAAAGGGAGAGTTTTTCTTACCCGATTTGGGAACCCCAGGCTGTTGCTCAAGTGACATTTAACTCATTTCACTAGGGATTTATCCTTTCTGGTCAGGTAATAACTTTTAAAAGTCTGAATTTTGAAGCAATGCTCATAGAAGTTATTTATGCAGCCTGGTTGACATCCACTTGAGATATTTAAATGTACTCAAGTGTGAAATTGTGAAACTCTTGCTTAATTTGAAGCTACCATGGCAAATTCTGCAGAAGACCTGACATGTTGCCTTTCTTCCAGAGGACCAAGTCCCAGGAACTCTAGATTGGGAGGCTACACTGCCAAACCTGCTAGGGTCAACCTGATGGGTGGGCTCCCTGAAAACTGGGATATGGCCACACAACTGTAGGAGAAAGTCAGCAATACACTAAAATTCCTATTACTATAACCAATCATGATAACTTTTAAGTTGCTCTGTTACCTTGCTGTTGACAATTTAACTAAATACTATGTAAATCATAAAAAATATAGCAAAATAAAACAGGATCGAATGCTTTGTGAAAACTTAATATTTTTAAAAATTTGGCTAAGTTATATGTGGATGAGAATTATAAAAGATAAGAAAAACAAAAATCTAGGAAGATTCTGTGCTCAAATTGCTTCACAATAGGCTTTAAAGAAAGCAGAATGCATCAGATGATGCATTCTAGTATTATTTGTGCAGGAAAGATGTTGCACAATTCTCATAAACCAATGCATAGTCAAATAAAAGGGCTCACCTTACAATGGAATATTTGTGAAGGAATTAATATACATAGTGTGTATTTTAAGTTAAAATATGTGATATGTATCAATTTTTATGGCTTTCAATTTTAAATTCCCTTTTCAAATCATCATTCATCTATCAGCCCAATTGTGTTGAAGGAGAGTTTTTCTCCTCCACACATATATAGACACTATTGTTCTCCTATCTTCAACAACTTGTTTTCAACAATATTTAGGAAATATGTTTGTTTGTTTGTTTCAGTGATTGCAGTAGGCACCAGGAACTAATGATGCACAAAGTGATCCCTATCTTCAAGAATTTTAGAGTATTATAATGTAGTTATCAATGAAGTATAATGATGCTATTTTATTTAATTTTTTTTGTTGTTGTTACTCCTCACCTGAGGATATTTTTTCCATTGATTTTTCAAGAGAGTGGAAGGGAAGGGGAGAGACAGAGAGAAAAACATTGATGCGAGAGAGAGACATCGATTGGCTGCTTCCTTCACGCAGTCTGATAGGGCCAGGGATTGAGCTTTCAACCTAGGTACAAGCCCTTGACCAGAATGGAACCTGGGACCCTTCAGTCCACAGGCCAATGCTCTTTCCACTTAGCCAAACCGGCTAGGGCCAAACATATCTCTTGAGTACTACATCGGTCACAATGGAATACTTTCTTGAACATTAGCTGTGATAGTGTTTGTTTCCTTAGTTTATTCACATAAAGACACTTCCTACAGAATACTAATACAAACCATCCAAAACCAATACCAGCAGTTCTCAACCTGTGGGTCACAAACAATGAAAATACATCCTGCATATCAGATATTTACATTACGATTCATAACAGTAGCAAAATTACAGTTATGAAGTAGCAACAAAAATAATTTCATGGTTGGGGGTCACCACAACATGAGGAACTGTATTAAAGGATCATGGCATTACCATTCAATTCATTCCAAAAACCTCATTCAAATATCCCTAACTTTTTCAATGTCTCTTTTTTCTTCCTGGTCCAGGACCTACTCTAGGATCATGCCTCACATTTAGTTCTCACATTTTTTGGTTTCTTTTAATCTGGAGCAGCTTCAAAGTCTTTCCCTGACTTTCATGTAGCTTACAGTTTTAGAGTATAAAGAATGTCAATCAACCTAGGGCCATGTGATATTTTCTTATGTCCAGGCTTAAGCCATTCATTCTCATCAGGAATAGTACAGAAACAATATTGTAGTATTCATCAAGAGTCCTTCAATGTTATTTTCATTCTCATCAGGAATAGCACAGAAACAATATTGTAGTATTTATCAAGAGTCCTTCAATGTTATTTTCATTCTTATCAGGAATAGCACAGAAACAATATTGTAGTATTTATCAAGAGTCCTTCAATGTTATTCCTTCCTACCACTAGAGATGTTGACCTTGATAACCTGTTCAAGTTGGTGCCTGTCAGATTCCTGAACCATAAGTCCACCTTTTCCCACTTTGTAGGTGGTATTTATTAAGAGATACTCCAAGACTATGCAAATATGTAATTCTTTTTTTTTTTTTTTACACTTGCCAGTACTCAAGGGGAGGAGGGCTTGGGGGGTAACTGGATAGAGACAGTGAAGGGATTAGCTAAAGAACATATATCCATACCCCATGGACACGGACAATAGTTTGGTGAAGGCCAAGGGAGGGGTGGCAGACACATATGTTTTATATAAATCTATATCTACGTGTTACCTAATTATATATTTGTACACACATCTTTATCTATTCCTGGATCTCTCTCAGTTGCAATCCCATCCTGTAACCTCTATTTCCATTTTCATAAACCTCTCTCTAACTGTGAGAACCCTGGTTCCCATTATCTTCATTCTATTTAATGAAGTAATCTCCTGACCATGCCGGCAGACTTCTTGGCCTCTGGTCTCATCACCTCCTCATCCATTTCCTCCATCTTTCTAACCTCCTCAGCCCAACTACCTCCACGAGAAGGGAAAGAAAGAGGAGAGGAGACAGAAGGAGAAAAAAGAGGAAACAACTTTTTATTTTTTATACACACTTCTTACAAAAGAAAAAATTGAAACTAATGGGTTTGACCAAATTTCATGTATTTTATTTATGTATTTATTTATGTATTTATTTATTTATTTTAGCCAGTCAAGTTTCATGTATTTTATTGTAACTGAGACTAGAAGAAATGCAGTGAACAAATTTTAAAAAAGGACAAATCATAAGGGGCATTTTGATAACTTTGTAAAGGTTCTGTACATTAAAAAGTTGGACTAATATTTGCAACATGTATATCTGTTTTCTAGTGCTACTATAACAAATCACCGCAAACTTGGTGGCTTTAAACAACACAAATGTATTACCTTGCAGTTCCAGAGGTCAGAAGTCCTAACTGGGTCTCTCTGGTCAAATACCAAGCAGTTAGCAGCACCATGTTCCTTCTGGAAACTCTATTTCCTTGCCCTTTCCAGCCTGTAGAGGCACCCACATCCTTTGGTTTGTGGCTCCATTTCTCCATCACTAAAATCAGCAGTGTAGCATCTTCAAATCTCCCTCTGAGTCTGATCCCTCCGCTGTCTCGCTTTTCCACTTCTAAGAATCCTTATAATTATATTGAGTCCACTGGGTAATCCAGGGCCATCTCCCTATTTTAAGGTCAGTTGATTAGCAACCTTAATTTTAATTTGCATGTGAAATAACGTATTCAGGTTCTTGGGACAAGGATGTGAACATTTTTGGGAGGCCATAATTCTATCTACCGGGATATAAGGCATAAAAAAATGTTGACATCTTTTATTTTTTTTAATCCTCACCAGATGATATTTTTCCAGTGATTTTTAGAGAGAGTGGAAGAGAGAGGGAAAGACAGAAAGAAACATAGATGTGAGAGAAACACATTGATTGGTTGCCTCCTGCATAGAGTCCCGACCAGGGGCCGGGCCTGGGAGGAGCCTACAACTGAGGTAGGTTATGTGCCCTTGACCGAAGTTGAACCCAGGACCCTTCGGTTTGCATGCTGAAGCTCTATCTATTGAGCCAAACTGGCTAGGGCAGAATGCCAAGGGAGTTAAAGGGTTGACCCTGAACACATC